AAGGAAAAGTTATTTACTTATTCCCATAATACAAGAACTAGGGGTCACCAAATGAAATTAATAGGCAGCAGGTTTAAAACAAATACAAGGAAGTTCTTCTTCACGCAGCGCACAGTCAACTTGTGGAACGCCTTACCTGAGGAGGTTGTAAAGGCTAGGACTATAAAATAAATAACAGCGTTTAAAAGAGAACTGGATAAATTCATGGTGGTCAAGTCCATTAATGGCTATTAGCCAGGATGGGTAAGGAATGGTGTCCCTAGCCTCTGTTTGTCAGAGGATGGAGCTGGATGGCAGGAGAGAGATCATTTGATCATTGCCTGTTAGGTCCACTCCCTCTGGGGCACCTGGCATTGGCCAATGTTGGTAGACAGGATACTGGGCTAGATGGACCTTTGGTCTGACCCGGTACGGCCGTTCTTATGTTCTATGACAGACCGCTTTAAGATCCTTCAAATTTGGGGCTGACATTGATCCTCATTAATAGCAGAATGGCTGCTGTAAGCTGAACAAACTCAAATAAGTTCAGTTAAGTAGCAATTTTCAGGCTATTTTAAGACATTTTTTGTACCTAGTTTTCTGAATTGCATTCAGCAGAACTCTAATTATAATAGAGTTCCTCCTTCTAATGGAAACCTCTATTACACAAATAAAAACAAAAAGGACCAAAGAAGAAGAAGAAGAAGAAAAAAAGGGAAGAGTTTTTTAATGTAGCTGTTCTTGTTCCAGTATCAAGCCTCTTGCTCTGCGCTTTCTGAAACCACTGCCTCACTATTATTTGGTCTTAAAGTTCTAAAATAAACTTCAGAGTAAACAAAGGGTCCTATAAAAAAGTCAAGACGACATCTCTACTTACTACTAAAGCTTCTACCAGGTTCCACCTTTAGTAAGATACAATTTAGTAATGTGTCCTGTCATTCTGGATACATTCTGTTCTTAAGAGTATACACTCTAGCATTGTTAGACAAATTTTATTATTGTGAAAACTTAGAGTGCCCCTTTTTAAATTCAAGCCTTTAATTACCACATTGTCTGTAAAATAAAATATTTACAGCCAGTGTATTTGGGTTCTGTATTTCTGGCAATATCTTTCATGCCTCATTTGCTGCTGAAATTATAAGCTTTTCAACAAGTCATTTTGCATTTTTGAATCACAAGAAAAATCTATTTTTCTTTAATAGCATGCTGAGGTTATACTGTGTCCTACTAAAGAACTGCAATAAGAAAAGAGAAAGTTTATTAATGAGTCATGGAAAGGTTTTCGTGTGATAAACAGCACTTCCTCATTCCCTAGAAAAACGAACATTAAAGGACCACCACAAACAGATGCAGTTATGCTTTTATTATGCTGCACCCACCTCTACTGCATGTGTTCCTGTAGCTACCACCATCTTTTAAGGAACTGTAGTTTACACTGTATACTATGATAAGAGTTAGCGTGGTCCAGTGGATAGGACTGTGGACTGAGTTCTACCTCCAGCTCTGCAACTGACCTGTGGTGTGACCTTGGACAAAGTCACTTTACCTCTCTTTGCCTGTTTCCCCTCCTATTTTTAGTCTGTCTTGTCTAGTTAGACTGTGTTCTCTTTGAGCAGGGACTATGTGTTTGAACACAATGGAGCACTGATCTTTGCTGAAGCCTCTAAATACTACTGTATAATACAAACAAATAATAATACCGTCTATAGCTAATGAGATTAAAAATTATGAGTTGTCTGCTATGTTTATCCTGAAGCTCAATATTATTTTGAAAAGACTATTAAATTAAAAATTTTTTACAAATATTTAGTCAACGTCCTTGTCATGGACCTTCTTGCTACACTACTTGATACTAGCTGAAAATATCTATTCATAGGTAAGGTAAATATTTCTGTAAGTCACCATAAAAACAAAAATTAACTACTTAACTTCAGCGTAACAAACTATGCTACGCTTTTCAATAGAGAACGAGACCAATTAAATATCAACACATTTCGTCTAAATCAGCACTGTCCATTGATATTTGTTAAGCTTGCTGATCCAGCAATCTTTAAAGCATGCAGCAAGATGAATAATAGAGATTTGTCAGTTAATAACCACTATAATTCAAGTATGTCACACAGAAGTGTTTTGTTTGGTGAACAATATGCTGTCTAATTACCCTGCTCAATCATAACAGCACATATCACAAAATGCAGAAATCTTTATTTTTAACTTGCATTACACTAAAGTACTGTACCATACGGATTTAAAAAAAATAAATCCAGTTACTACCCAATTTCCTCCAGACATAGCGGAGTCTCCGGGACTTTATTTTATCAATGAACCCAGGAAATACCTCTTTTAAAAATAAATAAATAAATAAATAAATCTTTAAATCGGACACAGTGCTATTTATGGTACTTTACAAACTACTCAGGACAGGTTACCATTTTTTGTGTGTCTGTACAGCACCATGCACACCTATACCACTGCATAAATAAAAAGTTATTACTGGCCCAATGATAAAAATGTGATCTCAATCATACATAGTATGTTCTGCTATGGAAAAAAACCTCACACCTCCAATATCAGCTGAGGATCAGTCAGTCCTGTCAAATGGACCAATACCACTATTCCCCATTTGCAACAAAGTCTGTACTATAAACTGCAGCCTGTTTAAAAAAAAAATGATGTAAACTATTCTCAAGAACCTCTTGATTCTTTCTTGGCGTTTGGTCTTAAAATAAGTAGGACAGAGAAATTGTTTCTAACAGGAACAGACACCAAGGCATTCAAATGCAAATTACCATTTTGTATTTGAAAGACACTTAGTATTATCCTAGTGACTTTCTAAAATGTCACAATATTTGCTTCCCTAGCA